TTTGAAAAATAGTTTCTACATATTCATTAAATAAACTAGATCTAAATAAAATAGTATAAATATCTAAAGTTGCTGGAATAATTTTATCTAATAAACCTAAAACTATTTGATATTCAATATCTTTACAGATATTTCTAAATTTTGTTAAAATTGTCTCTTTTATTTTATACCATCTATTATAAGTCAAATAAAAAAGAAAATTTATATACCAAGGTTTTGGTTTTTTTGCAAATATTTTTCTTTTTCCAAATACAAAATGAAATAATTTTTGAAAAAAGTGTAATAAATAATTAAAACATGTTCTCAACTATTAAGAGAAACATGAAAAGGATTCAAAATTAAAACAAATGAATTAATTCTGGAAGGTATTAAAGATTGTGAATTATTTTTATAGAGATTTGTTATTACTTTATATATAAATAGCTGTTCTAGCCAGTTAGTAACTAATGGTACAGCTCTATTATATAAAATACCAGTATCATTGTTAATATCTAGGATTAATTGTAATACACTTATATAATTATTTATAGAATATAAATTTTTTTCTTGAAGTTCAATCAATCAAACTTCTTTTATTAAATATTTCTTTTTCTTTTCTACAATTGCATCATCATAAAAATAAACTGTAAGTAATTCTATTTATCAAAGTTATTAATATCTAATCTCTATTAACAAGTCATTGTTTTTTACAATTGGTATAAGAAGTATCAAAAGTTTCATGATATTAATTTATTAACTGGAAACAAATATTACTAGTATCAATGTTTACTGGATTATAAATTGAAAAAGTATTGAAAATAATTGGTACTGGTATATATACTAAAACTTGTTTACAGATGCAAGTAGCCATATACTTTGCAGTTGATAAGGTTTTGTATTGGGTCTCATTTTTTTTATGAATATTATGATAATTATTCAAATTATAAATATACAAATAATTGTTCTAATTATATACAATATTAGATTAATATAAATTATTTTTTTTTAAAAAAATAATAATAATTTTATTTACTTGTTCTAAAAAAAATTCTCTTATTTTTAAAGGATATTCATTTACAAGTTTTTGTTTAAAATTATTGATTGTTATATAATATGCAGATAATTCAATATTGTTTAATGTATTGTGGTACAAACATTTTATTATTATTTTTCTTATTATTTATTAGTAAATTTTTAATTATATTTTATAATTATTTTTAGATTTATATTTAGTTTTCTTTATTTGTATTTTGTTTATCATTTATATTAGCTAAATGTATTATGAAACAAAGTAGATAATCATTTAGATAAATATCTACTTTGTAATATATTTGTTTGTAATTGTAATATGAGACAATTATCCTAAATGATCATCTCAGATAATTATTTAAATGATTATCTTAATAATCATCTCCTGTCATGAAGAAATGTTAAGGAATATTTTTATTATATGAAAAAATAAAATATAGTAAATTGAAATTGTTATAAATAAGGAACATTTTTACTTAAGCCAAAGGAGGAGACAGATCTAGTTTTAGTTTTATTTTCTTTTATATTTCTTTTAGTTTTTGTTCTTAAAACAAAAGTAATTAAATTATATATTTAATTTGAATCTCATTTTATTTTTGAATATTTTCTTATTATTTATTTTTATATTATTAATAAATCATATATTTATCTTATATTTATTGTATTATTATTATATTATCTTATCTCTTGCATCTTGTATAAGTCACAAACTAACTTAATGTGATAAAACCCTCTAGTTGCTTTAAAAGAATTCACTTATTGAATTAATTATTTAGTATTGAAAACTCTTGAATAAAATACACTTAAAGTTTGATCTAAAGGTTATAAAGTCCTAATAAATAAATTAAACTTTCAAATTATATTGACAAATTATATATAACAATATCAATGGCAATATGTGATACTCCTGATACTAATAGATATAATTTAATTTCTAATTTAAAATCATTAACAAATTGGTTTTATATTCTAGCTATTATATAATATAGGCTTACAATTGTTTTTTTTTATCTCAATTTTATTATATTGTTATATGCAATCTGTTAATGTAATTTGAAGGTTTAGTTTATTTATTAAGACTTTATAACCTTTAGGTCAAACTTTATATATGTTTTATTTAAGGATTTTCAAATATTATGTAATCAATTCAATAGGTGAATTCTTTTAAAGTAACTAGGAAGGATTTTATCAAATCAAATTAGTTTATAACTTATACAAGATACAAGAAATAAGATAATACAATAATAAGACAATAAATATAAGATAAATATATGGTTTATTAATAATATGAAGATAAAATAATAAGAAAATAATACAAAAATAAAATGAGATTCAAATTAAATATACAATTTAATTACTTTTGCCCCAAGAACAAAAACTAAAAGAAATATAAAAGAAAATAAAACTAAAACTAGATCTGTCTCTCCTTTTAACTTGAATAAATATGTTCCTTATTTATAACAATTTCAATTTACTATATTTTATTTTTTTATATAATAAAAATATTCCTTAATATTTTTTTGTGACAGGAGATAATTACTAAATAATCATCTAAATAATTATCTGGAATGATTATCTAAGGTAATCATCCCATATCACAATTATAAACAAATGTATTACAAAGTAGATATTTATTTAGATAATCATCTACTCTACTTTATAATACATTTAGCTAATATAAATGATAAACAAAATACAAATAAAGAAAACTAAATATAACTTTAAAAATAATTATAAAATATTACTAATAAATAATAAGAGATAAAAATAATAATTTTTTTTTATGTCACAATATAAAGATCTCTTGTCAGGAATTAATACTTTTTTCAATTTATCAAAAATCCTTGTAAATATAAATTAGATTTTATAATCATTTGCTAAAAATAAATAGGATCAAGCTTAATATTTCCACATTACATATATAAAACTTTTATAAGTATACTAACTTGTACAATAAATAAATAGATTTTTGATTCTATAAAATAAAAATTAAAATTAATTATGTTATATTATAGTATTAAATTTTATAATTGTTAATTTTACCTTATGTTTTTAATTTTTGATAATGATCAATTTCAAATAATAAATATGACATAACTGTTCTCTAATTTTTAAATAAGGATAAAATTTAAATGATCTATTATTTTGAACTTTTTTATATGTTAATAAAGTAATTTGACAAAAGTGAAACATTTGAACATTACAATTTTGTACTGAGCAAGGACCAGAGTTTTTTTTTAAAACATAATAAAATAATTTTTTGTTTTTGCATTTAAAAAATATTTATAAAAAATATTTATATTTTAATTAATTATAAATGTTGATTACTATTGATCACTAGTATTGATCACTAACTAATAAAAACAAATTATCTCTATACTTTTGTGTCATAAGTTTGTTTCGAGAATTTAAATTACTATTTAAGAAAAACTTTTTTAATAAACTTTTTACTTTTTTTGTAATTTTTTTTTCAGTCACTTTTTCTTCAAAATTTGTTTTCCTTAAGAATACATCCTTTTAATAATGGAAAATCTTTTTCTATTGAACTATAATATTATTAAAAAAATATATTTTCAAAATCAAATTTTTTTAACAAATATTATTTTTGAATCACTTGTAAATTCTAATTTATATTAGTATTTTCTAAAAATAAATAAATAATTTAGTATTTATTTATAATTTTGTATATTATTTTTGAATAATGATATTAACCTACTATATTATTATTATTTAGGTTATTCCAATTAATAGTATCTAACAAAAAGAACAATAATTTTAATTTATAAATAAATAATTTTAGTATTTTTTTTTTATTAAATTTATATATATTTTCAAATAAATAATATTAATCTATTATATTATTATCATCATCACAATTAATAACATCTAATAAAAGAATAATAATTATTATAAAAAAATATTTATTTTTAAATAATAATATTATCACAGAATTTTATTTCAAAAAATCTAAAAATATTTATTTTATTTACTTAGCATATTAATATTGATTAAATTTAAAAAATAGTAAATATTAAATTTAAATATAAAAATAATATGATGCAAAAAGTTTAAAGACATCAAATATTTTGAACTTATTTTAAATTACTAAAACTTTTTATCTAAATATAAAAATTTTTTAAAAAAAATATATTATTTGATAGTTCTTAATTAGTTTTATAATTTAATATATTTTTTTTAATATAGTTAATAATAATTTATTAAGTAGTAAAAGTATATTATACAAACTTGTAATTTTTCTTTAAAATCTTTATAACAAAATTTATCAACTATTATAAATAAAATTTGAATTTTTTCATCTATTCTATATTTATTATTTTTTAATACAACCTTAAAATTTTTTCAAAATATATTACTACTATTTATAATTTCAGATAATTCTTTATTTTTATTTTCTAAATGAATTAATATTGAATTATAAAAATCTAATAAAGTTTTTTTATCACCATTTAGATCTATTGCCCTACTTTAAAATCTATATCAGATACAGTCAGATCTCTATATAGTCACACCATTGAAATACAAAAAACTGTGACTATATAATGTTGTGACTATTATAGAGGGTTTCTCTATATAATGTGACTATATAAAGTATTTTTATAGAAATTTATCAGCTGATCGAATGTTTGAATAAAAAATGTAATCTGATTATCTCTAAATTTTAATTGATCTTTCATGCCTCCCAAATCCATCTCTAAAAAAACATATTGTCACATTAGCGACAAGCAAAAAAAAGAAATATGTAAATTTGCTAAAAAAAAAATCTATCTTATAAACAGCATCAAATAACAAATGAATTTATAGAATGTTATTCAAGCCTAAAGATTGAACACTTAACTATATCAAAAATATTAAAAAAAACCAATGAATATTAACTTCAAGATAATAATGTATATACTGAAAAAACTTTTCATCATCGTTTTGTAAAATACCCAATGTTAGAACTTGATATGAATATGTGAGTAGAACATGTTATGACTGAAGGAATAATTATATCGGATTCAATAATAAAGGAGAAAGGCCGCCATTTTGCAGAAGTATTTTTTATACCTGAGGGATCATTTACATTTTCAAATAGGTGGGCTACTAAATTTAAAAAACATAATAAGTTAAAAAAAACTATAATATATGGTGAAACAGCAAGTACTCCTTTAAAAAAGTTACCTGAAGAATGAAAAAAATTATAAGAACTTCTTTCTCACTACAATTTAGAAGATATATATAATACTGATTATATTTACACGCAAAATTATTTTGGGGTTCCGAAATTGCAATTTCAGAGAAAAAAGTTGAAATAGTTTTTCATAGAAGATGAAATTATTTTACTTAAAATCTGAAATTTTTTGATCACCTAGATTTATTCCTTAATTGAATATACACATAACTGGATACTTTTTTTACTTCCATATATAGAATAAATTCTGCATAAATTTTAAAAAGTCGAAATATCCCAAAAATCCAAAATCAATTTTGAGAACATGTATAATACTGGTGAAACAGATTTATTTTACTGATTACTTTTCAATCAAATACTTTTTAAAAAATCAATAGCTAAAAAAAAAAGATGAATTAAAAAAAAATCAATTAAAACAACTAATTAAATAATAATAATATTTTTTATTAGGAAAAAGTAAAAGTGACTGTATTATTTTGCTCCAATTTGACTGGTTCTCATAAGTTTTGTCCACTGGTTATTGGCACTTCTAAAAAACCCCAATGCTTTAATGGTTTAAATATTTTACAATTACCTGTAACATATAAAAGTAACAAAAAAACATGAATGAGGAGTGATATTTGGAAACAATGGTTGCATTATATAGATGAGGATTTCGTATCTAAGATCAGCAGGTCTTACTTCTTGTCAATAATGCAGCTTCTCACATTGTTCTGGAAACAATTGAAACTTGGGATGATAATATAGATAATATAGATGATGAAATGTTATCTGAGAATGATTCTATTGATAAAATGGAAGAGCTCCAAGAAGAATTGTAAGAAAGATCAGGAGGAAGATCAGAAGGAAAATCACGAGAAAGACTACAAGAAAGATCACAAGGAAGATTGTAAGGAAAGTCACGAGAAAGATCAAGACTTATAAATGTTACCATACATTTTCTTCCTCCAAATATGACTGCTCACATTTAGCCAATGGACACTGGTATTATTCAAAGTTTCAAATCAAAATATAAGAAACTATATTATCGTCATTTGCTTTCAGAATTTGAGAAAAATAATGAATAAAAGTAAGAATTTTTTTTTTATACAGTTATGTTTATGTATTTGTATTATTTTATCTAATCATTTATAAATATAGAAAACTTACTCTGAAAAAACTATTGGTTTTATTGTTGAAATCTGAAAAGATGTTAGTTATATATGTTTCCAAAATTAATTTTGGATTTTTGAGGTATTTCGACTTTTTGAGATTTATGCAAAATCTATTCTATATATAGAAGTAAAAAAAATATCCAGTTATATGTATTTTTAATCAAAGAATAAATCTGAGTGATCAAAAAATTTCAGGTTTTAAATAAAATAATTTCATCTTCTATAAAAAACTATTTTAACTTTTTTCTCCAAAATTGTAATTTCAGGACTCCAAAAATATTTGTGTGCAAGTATAATGTTAGTGATATTACTATAAGAAATTGCTAGAGAACAACTAAGATTATGTTCGAAATAAATGAATCAAGAATAAATGAAGAAGAAAGGGAGTTAAAAAATGAGATTAATTCTATAACTATATTAATTAATGATCTTCCAGTTAAAACTAACTCGGAAGCTCAACAATTAATAAATCATATCGATGAATATACTCATATGATTAATTAACCAGTAGTATGTTTCTGAGAGAGTTGGGACAGAAACCCTAACCTTAATATGTATAGCATTTTACTTTTCTCACCACACAGAAAGCTTTTTTCTTATATCGAGTTTTATATTATTTTGCTTAATTTTTTTCAAGCTACACTCAAATGACGTGTAATTTATTTTTTTGGTCACATCTTCATATTACTACTCTACTTGTTATAAAAAAAGGAGCAGGAAGCTAAAGGATGAATGTCCTGAAGCTGAGTGTAACAAGCATCAGCAAGCTTAAATTTAATATTATTTTTTTTACTATTCTAATTCTCTTCTAAACTTTATTTAGTCTTCTGTTACTGTGAAGCATGAATCCCAAAGGATAAATACGAAACAGTTATGGAGCGAAGCGGAGCATAGTTAACATATTAACTTTTAAAATTGTTAACAATATAAAATAATTATATAAAAAAGTCTAACCTCTAATAAAAGATTTTTAGTTATTTTGCGATTCTTTTAGAATATCTAATTTTTACTATCTCCCTTAACACCCAAATTAATTATTATTATCATAAAAAATATCAAAAAATATCAAAAAGTTAGAACAAAGTCTAACCTTAATATATCAAAAAAAGTTGGAACAAAGTCTAACTTCATATCTAAAATCAATTATTTTATATTTCCAGATTCTATTTCAATATACTTTATATATACATATATATCAAAAAAAAGTTGGGACAAAGTCTAACCTCAATATATATCAAAAAAAGTTGGGACAAAGTCTAACTTCAATATATTGAAAAAAAGTTGAGACAAAATTTAACCTCAATATATACATAGCTAGAATCTAATTTTGAAGCCTTAACATATAATCTACTATAATACTACACTACATAGTGAAATAATTATTTAAACAAAAGATTTTATATATAAGTAAAATATTATAAAAGAAATTATAATGTTATGGTTAGAAAACATAAAAAAAATTATACTTGTGAATGTTGTGGTAACCCTCTTTCAATATCACAAAAACTTTGTCAACATTATGTTAGTAATAAAAATTCATGCCACTTACCAGTTCCATCTCCTAATCAACTATCGCAACTTGATTCAGAAATAGAATATCTCGATACATTGGAATTACACTGGTTGAAAATTGATAAAACATACACATATCGAATACCCGATATGTACATGGTGTGTCCCTAATATCAGACATATATTGGATACCTGATAAGTGTAAAAAATATTTTATATATATATTGGGTACTCGATAAGTGTAAAAAAATATTTTCTACACTTATCGGGTACCTGATATATGTCTGATATTAGGTACACACCATGCACATATCAGGTACACGATATGTATATGTTTTATCAATTTTCAACCAGTGTTATTTGATTCTTCAGAAATTGGTAAAAGCAGTTATTTAGAGACTAACTTATTTCCAGAGGCTGAAAGAGAATATCTTGAAGCATTAGGAATATTAGAACCTATTTCGCAATTTCATCAAACAGATATTATTAGTTCAGGATGTGAATTATTAGATGATCATTATCAAGTTGAAATAGGAAAAGAAAGTATATATGTACAAGACCCAATCAATACTCTTGAAGTACTTAGGAAGCAAATAATAAATATTTTCAATAACCGATTTGATCTTACTCATGGGTTCAAAACTCGATTATGTCTCACAGGAAAAATAAGTCAATCAACAAATTATCAGCAGGGACTGTTTGAAGATAAAACATTTGCAGAAAATAATAATGATGAAAAAGAGTATAAAGAAGTTCTGTTCAAAAATAAAGCAGTAGTAATAACTGTAAAGAAGATATCCCAGAAATTGTAGATGAGCTTATTTGGGATATTGAAAATTGAATAGAAGCATATATTTGTGAAAGCTCAGGTTGGTATTATGAAGAATCGGAAAAAGTAAATATTGAAATGCCAATTTATGTTCCTTTAACAGCCAATTTACACCTTCTTTTACCTAAAGAAATATCAAAATGAAACAATGGAATTATCAATATCAAAAATGAGGATGATTGATACTTTGAATATTATATTCTTGCAGAGTTATATCCCCAACAATATCATAAAGAATGAGTTTCATGATACACCCCCACTTAGATATATTAAATTTCAAAGGGATTCAATTTTCAGTAAAAGTTGACAATGATATAATGGAAAAGTTCGAAAAACAGAATTTTAATATATTTGTATCAATTTATGAATGGAGCGAAAAAGAACTTATTCCAATTAGAATTGTACCTAAATTCAAAGTACATGATAGATACAATTATGAAGAGGGAGGTTGTCAACCACAAAAATTAATTTGACTTTTATTAATAACAGGAGATAATCCAAAAACAGGTGAACCAGCTTAATATTATTACTTGATCCAAGGAAGAGATGAACTAGGAAAATTAGCTGGATATACAACTAAACACAATAGTAAGTTATATGTTTGTGACTATTGTGTAAGTCACCGAACCCACGATACTACTGTACCACAAAATACTATTTGCTAATGACTATAAATAGTATAATACTAATAATATTAATATAATAACTATTACTAAATAATATTAAATATAAATAATAATAAATGTTAAGTAAT